AAATTTTTTTGTAGTTATGTAATATGCTTACAAAGAAAAAAAAAATCACTCACAGCACAAACAAAGAACGCAAACAGACTACTGTAGATAGTGAAGACACTCCCAGAAAGAAATGCCCAAACACCCATTTTAACATATTATACACGTCTCAAAACTTCAAATTCAACAACCAATACAAACAATCCAAGATAAAACTAAGCTTCTACTCCATTTTTTATTTTACTGAAACTTATTCAAGAACAGAAGATAGTCACAAATCTATCCTTGTCAAGATTAAAGTTCTTATTATCACTTTATCTATGCTACCATAGCACCATAATAAGGGTAGTTAATTACATGTGGATTAGAACTCCTGGTTTCTTCTTTTTCCAGCTCAGGGAACCTTCTATTATGCTTCAGGGATATTTGATGAGGGCATCTTTTTGTCTTTCTGATCAATCAAATTAAAATTCAGCAGCTTCAGACTGACCCACAAATTTGCCTTCAATACTTAAAAATGTTTGGCTGGTCTTTCTTAACTGTCTGGTAGGTTAGGAGCCCATGGTCTTAGTCATCAATAAGGGTAGTTCATTACATGAGGATCTGAATTCTTGGTCTTCTCTTTCCCAACTCAGTAAACAGAGATACTTGATGAAAGGATCTCTGGGTCATGTCATTACAATTCAACAGCTTCTGACTGGTGCACAAATTTGCCTTTATCAATTAATAAAACCCTGTGCTATGCATTTACTTGTGCAATAAATTTACTAGGAATCCTTGTTATGGAAGCAATGATATGCGCAAGTTTGGACCTTAGTTATAATCATACTTGGTACTAAAGAAATGTGAGACCTCTGCAGAATTAAACCTTAAATTCTTAATGCAGCTGTAACTACCACAGTACTATAATCCTGGCAAAGTCAAGTCAGAACCAGTATCTGAATTGCTGACCAGGAGTGGCATGGGAGTTCTTAAAAAAATCTGCTAATTTTCTTTAAGAAGATAACACAAATCTAGCTCAATGGTGGAGAAACACACAACGGAACCCCAGTAAACAACATTAGGATTAGACACTATTTTACTGCAATGTCTGACAAAAGAATAAAAAGTTTGCCCCAGAATGATGGATTTCGGAAGACCACGGCTACCTTTCCTAGCCCAGTCTCAATGGGCAAACGTCAAAAGATTTCAGAGGATTACTTGGATAAACACATGCCACACAATGCCTAACTTTAAATGGAAGCTGTCGGGGCTTTCTAGTGCCAGATTATCTAGGGCGGGGTTCTCACGACAAATTGTTTGGTGGTCTCAGTGTACGGCCACCAACTCTTGCTGGTGGCCACTCTGACAATTTTTCCTAAAATACTTAATTAACTTTAGGAGAAACAAATAAATACGCACATCAAAATCGTGATTTATGTATTGCTAGTTAGTAAGTCTGCTGCTGTGAAAAGTGATTTTTGTACGTTTGTTACTATCACTTTTCACAGCCTCCCAGCTAGCTAACAAGTCTTTGCTGTGAAAAGTGTTAATATCCCTTTTCACAGCAGACTTACGCAGCCCTGGCAATCCTGGGGACAAATTAAGCCCTGGATGGGGAGATGGATGGATAGGCAGCAGGGGCCAGGGGAGATGAGGGGTGGCAGTGGGGAGCCAGAGCCTGAAGCCTGAGGGATGGGGCACCAGGAAGGAGCCTGAAGCCCTGGGGCTGTAGCCTGAAGCCCTACAGCAAGGAGATGGGGCCTTGAGGCCAGGGGACGGCGCCAGAGCCCGAAGCCCCATGGCCGGAGCCTACCACTCCACCATACCAGGGCTGAAGCCTGAGCCTCACCACCCTTGAGAAGGTGGGGAACTCACAGGTTGCCTGCTCCTCCATGGTTGTGCCCCAGGTGCCTCCAGAGGGGGGCAGGGCCCAACCCCTACTGGCAGGCCCCGCCACCAACACCCA